GATGAATGACAAGTGCTTGGAAGAAATAGTCATTTTAAATCATTTAGTTATTCTATTATATTTTAAAAACTATATTAAAGCTCATAATACATGTGAAATGTTTGATTTGTCTATGCTTTCTTTTTTGCCATAGAAAAAGCACATAACAGAAACCACAAAGGCAATATATGTGACAAATTCTGGCTGGTAAACTAAGCAGTCATCTTATGTCCCACTATAAATGTATCTTTACAAGGAGAGAGGCTTTCCTTCAAAACATACTTATGACAGTCTAGAAACAATTAAAAACTAAGAAAAAAGAAAAGGCACCGTTTGCTCTTTTCCCCCACCTCCATTTCTGGCACCCACACACAGATGCTAGAAAGCTCTTCTGGTTCAATACTAGGAAACAAGAATTGTATTAAGGATAAGCTTAGAAAATAATACTACATTAAAAATTATTTGGGAGTCTGTCTAAGCCCAAATTGGCAAAGGAGTTTATACGTATATAGATGGGCTATCTTTTGCCTGCATAAGAGTTTATAATGCATGATTCACTTTCTTTCTACCAATCCCACCATCGTGTTCTTGAGCCAACAGAGAAAGATCATTTCATGACTCCATGCATTTCACAGTCTACCCTCTCTGCTTTCTTTCTACCAATCCCACCATCATGTTCTTGAGCCAACGGAGAAAGATCATTTCATGACTCCATGCATTTCACAGTCTACCCTCTCTGCTCAGTATGAATCCTTCCTGACTCCAATTCCCTTTTTCCCCTTTAAAATTCCCACTCATCTTTAGGAGCACACATTGAACAATACTTGATTAAACCTTTCTTGAAACCATTCAAGATGAGTTAATCATTTTACCTGCTCTAAGCACTTCTGTTCTCTAGAACAGTAAGAATGACTTGTATAATGATCCCTGAAAGTAACAACAGCTCTGAATTCCAAGTGCTTACCACAGTGCCTGGCATGTAATGTGTGTTCAGTGATGATTTTTGAAATGAATGGCTTATCTGTTTGACCTATCCATAACAAATTTACAAATACTTCTAGTCATAAATGATGAAAAGTAGACATGGGATAGTTCAAAAGTGGCTGGATTATTATAAATTAAATCTGATTCTTAAATAAATACGGACATTGAAAGCCAGAAATTTAAATTTCTACAGCCTAGCTAAATAATGCCACTTCTCTAATTAAACTCAAGTAAAGGAGACACACTGGGAAGCTTAGAAAAGTTTGCTAATATGAAGTATTCACCTTCCAGGCAAAGGGAAGGTGCCATTCTTGAGAATAGTTGACCACATTCAGGAGTACTTAATTCATTTACCATTTAAATCACAAAATAATACGTGCACTTAGTGTAAGGTCGGCTGCCTCACAGTGTTAAACGGACACATCCATCTCTCTCCGCGCCTGATAACTGCGTCATCACTCAAGATCGTTATCGGGCCTTACCGCACGATTCCCCGCACCCACCTCCGCATACCAGACCAAAGCCCACATTCAGCACTACATTATGCATTCAACCACCAGCCCGCTGTTGATAAACCCTGCAGGAAAATTTTTTAAAGAAGCCCCATCAGACCCTGCCCAGTAGCAGTCTGCTCTGTATGCCCCTGGAAGGCCCGCTTACCCAAGGTCCTGCCCGCCTACCCATAACCACCAGCTCCAGGCATTTCTGCTTCGTAATAGCCAATAAGATGGCCTTCACTTTGTTTCTCCAACAGTCAATCAAGGCCCACTTACCCAAATTCCCACCCGTCTACCAATAGCAACTAGTTTCAGGTACTTCCTGCTTCCTGACAGCCAATAAAATTGCCTTTGCTTTGTTTCCCCAATAGCCAATCAATCTCCTTCCCTCCCCATAAAACCCCGGGACCTAAACAGCCAGGGACTTCTTTGGCCCCTTCCTGGACCACAGAACCTCACCCAGGAGCTGAATAAATTGGCTTCTCATTTTCTCATACTTGCCTCAGTTTCCTCATTTTACATCAGCAATAAACCTTACACTTAGTATCTGCTTTTACATTATTTAATAAAATGGTTGTGTTCAAAGAGGTTCTTAAGAAAAAATCTCGCACCACGCACTTTCTGATGTGAAAACAAAGGCACAAAATAGAAATTGCCTTTTACTGCTGTGCACACATGATTTAGTTTTATGTAAAGCTATAGTAAAATAGAATTCTAATAATTTTAAAAATCTATGAATTTTTCATTAAAGTTAATGGATTTGATTATATGTTGTAGTAAGATTGAGAATTTAATGTGTATCATGCAAGTTACCAGGTTAACTTGGAAGGCAGACAAATAAATTCATATGTAACATAAAATTGAAGTCATTATCCTGTTAAAATTCTTACAAGATATTAATAATGCTTGTGAAATTTGCAAATGTAATATTTGTGATGTTAAAAAAGAGAATTCATAACATTAAAGCCTCTACTTTTTTAACATAATTTTTTCCTTTGCTCCTAAAGCAAAATATCTTCACAGACAACCCAAGTTTACAATAGATAAATTTATGCCAGCCATTTTTTTTTCCTACAACATTGTGTATGTCTTTGTGTATATTTTTTCCCAACGTATGTATTCCAAAATGTGGGTAGAATTTTTCATTGTACCTTGAATACCAAGCAAAATATATTTATTTTAAATGTATTTTTTAAATAGCTGTTTTATGTCATTTTTCCTGGACCTGATTTTCATGAGAAATGAACTTTAAATGAGATAAAGTATGCATGACACACAAGACAAAAGAAACCCACCCCTTTCTGACAGCTTACACTAAAATTAACTCCAGATAGATTAAAGACTTCAAACATAAGACCTAACACCATTAAAAACCCTAGAAGAAAACCTAGGCAAAATCACTCAGACCATAGGCCTAGGCAAGGACTTCATGACTAAAACACCAAACGCATTGGCAACAAAAGCCAAAATAGACAAACGGGATCTAATTAAACTCCAGAGCTTCTGTACAGCAAAAGAAACAATCATTAGAGTGAACCAGCAACCAACAGAATGGAAAAAATTTTTTGCAATCTATCCATTTGACAAAGGTCTAATATTGAGAATCTACAAAGAACTAAAACAGATTTACAAGAAAAAAACAAACCCATTCAAAAGTGGGCAAAGGACATGAGCAGACACTTTTCAAAAGAAGACATTTATGAGGCAACAAACATACAAAAAAATGCTCTTCATCACTGGTCATTAGAGAAATGCAAATTAAAACCACATTGAAATACTATCTCAGGCCAGTTAGAATGGCAATCATTAAAAAATCTGGGGTCAACAGATGCTGGAGAGGATGTGGAGAAATAGGAACACTTTTATACTGTTGCTGGGAGTGTAAATTAGTTCAACCATTGTGGAAGCCAGTGTGGTGATTCCTCAAGGACCTAGAAATAGAAATTCCATTTGACCCAGCAATCCCATTACTGGGTATATATCCAAAGGATTATAAATTGTTCTATTATAAAGACACATGGACACGTATGTTCACTGTGGCACTGTTTATAATAGCAAAGACCTGAACCAACCCAAATGCCCATCTATGATAGACTAGACAAGGAAAATGTGGCACAGATACACTATGGAATACTATGCAGCCATAAAAAATGATGAGTTCATGTCCTTTGTAGGGACATGGATGAATCTGGAAACCATCACTCTCAGCAAACTGACACAAGAACAGAAAATCAAACACTGCATGTTCTTACTCATAGGCGGGTGTTGAACAATAACACATGGACATAGAGAGGGGAGCATCACTCACTGGGGTTTCTAGGGGGGAAATAGGGGAGGGACAGTGGGCGCTAAGGAGGTTAGGGAGGGATAACGTGGGGAGAAATGCCAGATATAGGTGATGGGGGGATGCAGGCAGCAAACTACATTGCCATGTATGTACCTATGCAATAATCCTGCATGTTCTGCACATGTACCTCAGAACCTAAAGTGCAATAACATATATATATATATATAAATATATAAATATATGTATATAAATATATATATAAATATATATATATATATAAATTCCCATTATTTCCTTAAGTTTCAAATATATCATCAACAGGATTTTTTCATTGGAACTTATCAAAGGCAAATTTCAAAACTATCAATACCTGTAAGTTTTTTTCATGTGGTTGTTTTGTTTTCAACTCAATCAAAAATTCAAGAAATTATGCATTACTAATAGGCTAAAACCTCTTCCTAAAATCTTGCAATGGGGGCTCCTCAGGTTTAATTAACTAGACTTATTGGCTTCTGAAAAAAGACTATGTTTAAACTGGTATTTTCTAAATTCCAGAGAAGAAATACTTGTTTTTAAAATTCTCTTAAAGAAAACTCTTTGTTTTTTCTTATTTATATTAATAGTTACTTGCTTAGACAAAAGCAGAATGCTATGTGAATGCACTTTATTTAATGTTACATTTTGTAGATTTTGTTTCAGAGAAACTGGAAGAAGTCAATTAATTAGTTGATGTTTTAATGTTAAAGGAAAAATATTCAAAAGTCATTTACCCTACTATCAAATGAGATCGCCTAGGCCAATGTTCTCAAAGTGAGTGAGCTCCTCAGAACCAGGAATGCTAAATGGTGCTTTGTTAAAAGTGATTCTGTGGTCCAATGAAATTTGGGAAATGCTTGTTCAACAAAATTAAATAGGTAATGAAAACTTTTTCAGGGCAATTAATATGCTAATGTCTACTATAAAAATCACATCATATGTTATCATAGGCAGAATTTTCCAGACAGAACTATTTAGTAATAAAATCGTTTTTTCTCCTTATTTGGGCGGGAATGGGGAAAATAGGCCATTGGCCAATATATCTGTATAACTAAAACTAGTTCTTGATATATCTTTTCTTCTTAGACATATTCCTATGTGTCTTTGAGCAATAATTTACCTTAATTAGAAATTTACATTTCTCTTTCATATTTGATGTTATTTCAATGGACATTTATTTTCCAATTTGCCATTTTCAGAGAGAAAGAAGTACCAACCTGAATGCTTCCAGGTACTCAACATCTCCCATCGGAGGATCAAGGCCACCTGTCCAGGCAATATTTATATTGTACCCTTCTCCAAGGCCTGTTCCGACCTGGGAAAAGAGATACACACCACAGTGGGCAGAGAAGAGGGCAAATGGAAGAAAGCAAGAAGAGACGAAAACAAGCACATGGGAGCTCCTGAAATAAACATCAAACAACACACCAAATCAGCCCAACCTTCCCTGACAAACAGTGCTCTGGGTTATGCACTTGTTCTGCACTGGTTCTTGGTCCCATGGGACAATTCAGTAATCTCATGTAATTTAAAACACCAGCAAAGGACAAGAAAATTAGGGGTAATCATGCAATGCAATTACCTGAAAGATACAAATAAAAGTGGGGCTCTAAAGAAATAAACCGAACCTCATTTGGGGCTCCACTGCCAGGGAAAAAGTTCCCTTCATCATAGCGATGGAGTGAAATGTACAGGATGCTGGGGTCAGCATAAAAGGCCTGCTGGGTACCGTTTCCATGGTGAACATCCTACAGGGAAAAGAAAACAGATGACAAATACAGTGATGTCTAACTTTGTGTGGAGACAACCTTTCTGATTTCTAGTTCCCTATCTTTCTACTCCACTTTCTTTCTCATTTTCTGTCTTCTCAATATGGTCCTCTTTTCTTTCTCCCATTCAGCCTGCTTCCACACCACCCCCTTTACTTCCTGAACTTTCAGGCAAATTACCCTTTAATGCACTCATTTTTTAAACTGGCTTCTAAAAATCAGGAAACCACAGCGAGCATGCCCTGGAGACTCCAGATGAGCAGTCATTGAGAAAGCCCAGTCCTTTGGTACAATTAGATATTTATACACCGGCTCTTTGTACTCTTTGCTTCAGTGATGGAATCTCGCATCCTGTTTTATGGAGGAATTTTATGACTTATTAACTGCCAACAGTTCATAACCCCTCAGGCTTAATTAACTAGCCTCTTTGGCCTCTGAAAAAAGACTAATGTTTAAACTAAACTACAAACTAGTATTTTGCAGAAGGATCTATGGCTTACAGAGCATTTTCACAATTCTTGACAGAACACTGAACATACGTGTATGCATTGATTTGCCAAGTCCCACCATTAAGGTCAAAGGCTTTGCAACCAGCTGAATAAATTGGCTTTCTTGAAGCATTCAGTTCAGTTAGCAATCCCTCCGCAGTTAGAATCACTTCAAAAGAGAAGCCAGATGCAAAAAGGACTTCATATTTCATTTTGGTAACATGGTAACACAAGAGTCGAAGACACAGGAGCATGAGCTCATTAGCTCTTAAATTATTTGGGCCAAGGAAGAAAGATGGCATGGGGTTTTATGCAATCTGCCTAATTTTAATATTATATCATGGCTTTCTTTATAGCCTTCTTCCTGCTCTTTTTTTCTTTCCCTACACCAGTCTTGTTCCCCAATCAAAAGAAAAAAAAATAGCCTCATATAAAACTTGAAGTTCTTTTTCTCACTGTTTTATGATACAGATCCATGCCAGAATTGATATAAGAAATGAAAAAGCCAATAGAACTAATAGCATTATTTTGAATGTCTTCACTGAAAGACCTCAGGCATAAAAAAAAATAAACTCAATTAATATACCTCATAATATATTCTGAATAAAAAAAGAGCCACTACAAACATGAATAATTTATATATTTGTATTCAATAGAATATTACTTCTATACTTTAAACATATAGTTTCTGGTTCTGTTATTTAAAAGTTTTAAAAACTTATAACTACATACTTTATATTAGTAAGATATAGAATAACACTAGTGTCAACAATGATTCCTATAATTTTTAAGTCAGACACTATGTAATTATTTTGTATGGATTATTTAATAATTAAAAGACAAGTAAACTGAGGCTCAGAGAGTTTCAGTTACTAATACTATACAGGAAATAAGTTGCAAGACTGGGTCTTGATCTAATTCCTATTCCGAAGGCCAAACTCTTAACCCTAATACAGTTAACTGAAACTTACATTCATAATATTTTTGATCCTCTTGGCCAACCTGTGAGGTGAGTTATTGGTCATTATTGCTCCTTAGGAGGTTTACATGACCTGTCTTCAAACCAATCTCCAGCCCAGCACTCCTTCACTAGACATTATCATAGACTCATTTTGGTGAATTCTGAAAACCTGCATTGAGCTTGCCATCCATGTGGTAGACATACAATAGTCCTTTCCCTTTTTTGAATGTTACACAAATCCAAAATTAATTAATAAATCACAATGTTGGGTAGACACACATCATTCCAGAAAGCTGCTTCAGCTAAAGACATATATCATCAGGAAAAAAAACATATCTTAGTCAAATTGTATTAATTCTTGGGTTTCTGAATAGACCAAGAAAAGGAAGGAGGTCATAACTAAACTATTTTTCTTTATGTAAACAAGGATGAACAATTAAAGCCACAATGTCTTTTGTGTTTGTTACTGGATATCTAGAAAATGCACAAATAAAGTATTCTGAAAAACAACATTAAGGGGATATTTGCATTTCCCTTATACAATAGTAATTTTAGTCAGTTCCAAGACACATTTGGTTTGAGCATATTCATCCACAATTTGAACAGCAGAATATTGTTTTGATTACTTTTGTTTCTCTGAAGACACTGTAAATGTTTACTTAAAACAAATATAAAATGATATGTTCTCTCAGATATAGTTATTTGTTCTTGAAAAATGTGTTGGGTACTTACTACTGCATAAATTTTTGAGTAAGAAATAAAATCCTGCCATAGCATAAGATTTTCAACAGACATTATTATTAAAATACATAAATCCATTCTGCTACAGGTAATTCTTGATTCTGTATTCATATTCACTGAATATTTAGTGATAAACGTTAAATCCAATTATGTCTTTTGTTTGATACAACTTACAGTATAGCCTTAAGAATATCATTGGGTTTTGTTTTGTTTTGTTTTGTCTTGTTTTCCTTGTTGTAAAAATATTCAAAGTACTGATTGGTCAGTTATGATCTGAGGCTTGCTTTTGCATGGTAACAAATATATAATAAACTAAGATAAGAAAATTATTGATGATTGTGAGAAATTACTATAGAAATGAAATAAAATGAATCGTTAAAAGCCCCAAAATAGACCTGTATCTCAGATATATGGGGAAATGCTGAAAATCATTTCAATATTTTACTGGTTAAAAAGCATACTGCAAACACTGATGCTTTACAAGGATTTAGAACCTGTATATTTCCACTATTATGTTAAAATAGCTTTGAATAAATCATATATTCTACCAGCTAATGTTATGACTCCTTGTTATTTAGTACAGAAACTTGTAAAAAAGCTCTTAATGTACTTAATCAACAATGCAATTTCCCCAAATCTAAGGACATTTGAATTAATTTTCCCTTTATGAAGATAGCATAAAAAGTATTTTTGTCAAAATAAAAGTCACATTACCTAAAAGCTACCTGAGTCATACAGTCTTACTTGTAGGACAAGTTAATCCCCTGAACACAATGGCCAGTCTCTTGCAAGTTGAAAAGCAAGTACACCTGCTCTCTCTCAACACCAGTCTGAATATGTTTGGCATCTCCCTCATAAACAAAAATGGAATAAATGAGCTCCACAGATCAACTGGAATCATTCTTGCCTAAAACACTCAACACTGCTGAATTTGGCTGTGACACAAAGTAGGAGGTGAATTAGAACTCTAGCTCTGTATTTACTAAGCATATAAAAATGCTGAAACTGTCAGACAAAGGAGTACCTTTGCCATCTATTGGTGCTATAATTTGTGGACTTAGTTCACACACCCCAGTTAACAATGACTTTGGATATGCAGGAATAAAATGTTTTTTTTGTTTTGTGTTGTGTTTGTGTGTGCGTGTGTGTGTGTGTGTGAGAGAGAGGGAGAGAGAAAGAGAGAAAGTGTGTGTGTGTGTGTGTGTTCCTATTAAATAACCTTCACCTCTTTTTCATTGCTGACTTGCAGAATAGACCTGTCAGCCAGGGAGAACGGATGTCTCAAGGCCACGTGGCACTTTAAAACTTCCTTCTCAGCAGCTGGAAGAAACAGGAATTTCCTCAAAGTAGCCCTGCAGCTGCAGAATTTGGAAGACTTGAAAGTAAGAATATGTGGGCTGGTGGTGATCTCAGAGGCAACCCTTTGGAAAGGACCCCATATATTTAGAGAATTTGAAACAAAAACTTCTCGTCTAGTATAGCCTGTTGGGAAATCAGTATCCTTTATGATTGGATAATGGAGCAAATACATAATCAAAGGCCAGGAAGCTTACAGGAAACTCCTTGGAGCTACCAAGTAACTTATTTTATAAATCGTATCAGATTTTTCCAGCAGTCTTTTATTCCTATACTGTATTAATGTACAAAAACAAAACTTTACATATAAATCCTCTGACATACAAAGTATCCATTTATCACAAAGGAGACATTTTAGCTTTCAAGTCTCTTGTACAGTTCACTACTTTTGAGTCTAGACATTACAAATATGTTTTCTAAGGGGACTCTTAACAGTGTTTGACTATCATCCTATAACCATAAAATGGAAACAGAGGAGATTCTTTAGAAAGTAGACACTAAAAGATCCTTAAGGATAGGACAAAGAGTTCACCAATCACCTTCTTACATAATTTTGACAGATTGAGAAAGCTTAGAAAAATTCTTTCTCCAGAATCTTTGCTCTTTATCTGCTATCCTTTCTTTAAGTTTCTAGCTTATCTTTCTGGCATAGAATTTAGAGAACTAGGAGCATACTATTTTAAAAATTTTAATATCTTACAAATTATGCAGAACAGTAACAATTACTTTAACTGCCATTTTGCATATAAGTGAAAAAATGGGTACTGATGTCTTCATTTTTGTAAAATTGTGACATCTTGCTGCTATATTATATCTAGGCCTTCAACACATTTCTTTAATGGTGAACTATGACCTACACTGAAACTTAGGTGTGTTTGGAAAATACATGGATAGTTGGGTTTCAATATTCTTCACTCCAAAGTGCTTGCAGGAATCCTTCAATATAGTGTGTGAAAAACATTCATTCCAGTGAAGCGCAAGAAATGGGTATCATTCTTCCATTTCTTTTATCTTCATTGCAACTTAACTAAGCATCTCTTCACATGGCTTTGTTTGTTGTGCTCTCTCAACCCTATGGTGTGCCTGCTTAACTGAATTTGAAGGCTGGAGGGTGAGGCCATGACTTCCAATAAGATTTAATTATGAGTGCAGATATGAACAAGATTTAGACTATTAAGGCTTGCACTTCAAAAAAAACCTTTAGCATATTTTGCCTTTAAATCTTTTATCACCTGCAAAAATTAATTAAGTGCAGATGTACCAGGTTCGGTTTGGATGCCAGGGTTCATTTCCTGTCTATGCTTTGTCAGACAACCTATTACACCTCCTTGTGAACTGGAGGCAAACTAAAAACTGGGCTCATAAATCACCATTTACTTCTCTTTTGCCCTTTTCTGGGTTGGTCCTTTTTGTATGGGGCAGATCTCCAGCTCATTATTCATGAATATACTGTGGACAATATGCCAAGTGTCATCTGCTTTTAAACAAACCATTTGTTAAACAAATTATAACTTTATTGTGTAAGAATGCATCATGTTAAAATATAAGACAAATCTAATGCCTTTAACTTTTAATCATTCAGAGTTTCTGCAGGGTATCATCCCAAACTGGCATCTGAGATTGGAGATTTTTTTAATAAGAGTGACATGCTGACTTGTTTTAATAATACCACTGTTGCACAACAAGCATCATGATTGCTGACCAGGGGAAGTGGCCAATTGGTTACCAAAGCAACTACATTCTTTCCAGCACATCTGACTATCGAGTCTATATTCTGTAGGGAAAAGTAAATTCAGGTTCTGTTGGGTTATTTTAACTGTGGAAGTATCAATTCATTTAAGGATCATAAAAGTTGCCCTGATCTGCGCCTTCTTCTCATTAAATTGCAGTTAACACCATGAAAGTGAAACGTGAATGTTTATGGTTTCAGAACTACAATCCTGAATTTAATGAGTTTCCACATTCAAAGGAAACACACCCTTCAGTTGTTTTCAAGTGCTAAAAGCAAGAAGGCCTAACAGAGACATACAAATCCACTCCCTTTTATCTAGAGTCACTGAAAATGCAGCTCTGGCCAGGAATACATACCAGATCTACAATCAATATCTTGCTTATATTTAGTTGGTCTCTCAAGTATTTGGCGGTAATTGCAACTGAATTAAAAAAGCAGAACCCCCTGCGGAATAGAGAAGAACAGAGAAATAAGAAAGCAAATCATCCAGGAAAACCATTATAAATAATGTTCAGAACATTTTTTTTAAATGCTATATGATCTCTGAAGCCATAAATCTGCTTCTGGGAGTACCTCGCAAGATTTTTCAGTCCATCTGCTAACAATTAGAGGCTTCAGAAACATGCATGGGGCAGGTGACCGCCAAGAACTGTGGTGCTTGGAGATGGGCAACAGTCCCTGGTACTTACATGGCTGTGGATTCTTCAGCATGATGGCCAGGGGGCCTCACAACAGCAAATCCATTCTGTGAAAACAAGACAGATTTTCAATGGTCAGATATGGTGGGGAGGGGAGAATAGAGATTGCTTGGATCCCCAAACACAACAGTGCATCAGGCACACACACAAAACTGAAGTCTCATATGCTTCTGAGATGCTTTTTGCTCCCCCATTGCCAATCATGGAATGAAGAGAAACAACATATATGATCACACTTTCTCAGATCCTGTCCCAAAAAGAAGACTCCGAGTCAGGGGAAGGACAGGATTTGGGGAGTTGCACCTAACTGGCAAACATGCATGTCAGCTGTTAAATTAGCATGATTCATTTTCAAGAACAACTTCTTATTTGATGACATCAACATCCTAGACAGAGAGAAGAAAATTTCATTCTTGGTGCAGGTTTAGGTCAAAGTTTGGAAAGACCAGAGAAGATCCAAAGTGAAAATTCTTTAACTGGATCTCCTCAATGGTTATTTACACTTCAGTGTCAGTAAAATGATAAATTTACACTCATACACTCTCATAGACACAAAAGAAATCCCAGAAAGGTGAAAAAGAGAACAATGGAAGGCCCATAATTCTTCCAGTCTATAAATTTAGCTTGGATGACCGCCAAGACTTGCAACTTTATTGGATTCCCTAAGTCAATTTCTAGCCCAGGTTCTGGAATTTTATAAAGAATTCCATGGCTGAGAAGCAAGCTGATCTATCCATGATCAAGAAATGCCTTAACCTTCAGATTAGCTGGAATGCATCACGGAAAGGTGAAGTAACTCCGGCATGAAGGCAGGGAACTATAAATCCTTGCAAAGCCAGCATGCTTAGAAAAGTTGGTTTGTCTGATGTGAAGTAATCATTTATCACATGGTTCACACCACCTTTCAACTTAACTATGGTTCAAGTAACATGCTCAAAAGAGCATGTTAATGCTGTTTTATATATAATCCTAAAACTTTTGAAATAATTTCAACATACCCCAGGGACTTTTTTTCAAATCTTTTATGAAAACATAAAAATGCTGAGAAAACTAATCTATTTTCTAGGTCTTTAAACACACATACATTTTTTCCAGAATGTTATGGTCATTAACAGACAGTGAGTTAATTTGCTATGTACTTTGTTGAATATATATAGTAATATAATCAGAAGCAAATTAGAATCAAATAACATAGTATCAATTAGAAATCTAGTAATGGTTATAAACATATTCCCTGTTTTTGTTCTTAAGACACTATCTCTCTGATGGTAAAATATTTATATGAAAGAAACTATCAATGAATAACACAAGATAATAGAGACTGAAATATTAAGATTATAGAATGACACTATAGAGTGCTACAGGACTTCTGAGAATGGAGAATTTGATAAAGATTATGACAGATGCAAATAGTTCACTGGGAAGCCAATAGGATGAAAATAACAGTGATTATATAATACAAGGCAATATAATTAGCATGTAAATAACTTTTATTATTAGATTAACCACACTAAAAGTTTTGTGATTTGATTAAAAATATGTTTAATGGATCAAAGGTATGGCATAACAACACAAAGAAGAAAACATCCAGTGTCCAAGAGCTATTTTAAAAAATCACTTAATTTGTAATTAAATGAACATAGCTTAGAACCCCAGAGAGAAGCCATTTTTCTACCCTGGAAATTAAAACTTAAGAAAATATTCTATGCTGACAATGGAGTGGGTACGCTAAATGCTCATATGCTGCTTGTAGAAGGATAATTCATTATAGCCTTTTTGGAAAATGATTCACCTCTATATATCCAGAGTCTATAAAAAACATACATATCTTCTGATTTAGTCATCTACTTAAAGAAATTCTGCCCTAATGGTACCATTAACTATGTACACAAACAATTATGTAAAAGACAGTGTCTTATTTATACTAGGAAAAAACAAATTACCTTAATGAGATAACACTAGGAGACTGGTTAATGAATTATGGTACATTTATACCACGGACTATTAGATAGTTATTAAAATTTGTTATAAATATTTAGTGAAACAGAAAAGACTTTATAATATTAATTTTTAAGTGTTAGTATTAATAATATACATAGTATAATATATATGAAGGAAGGTTTAATATTTTTATTTATAATTTCAATTTAAATATATGTATATATATTAATATACATATTAATATACATATTAAATGAAAAAACTATATTTACATGTATTTAAATTGCATAAATATACACAATTGTATAAATATATACAATTTAAATATATGTATACATATAGTTTTTTTTGAGACAAGGTCTCTGTATGTTGCCGAGGCGTGCCTCAAACTTCTGGGCCCAAGTGACCCACCTACCTTGGCCTCCCAAAGTGCTGAAATTACAGGTGTGCACCACTGTGCCTGGCTAAATTTCATGTATTTTTCAAATGGTTTTAGAACAAAAATGAATAGTCTAATAGTGAAAAAATATATATATAACAGAGAATACTGAGAGGTAGGTGTTAATGGGTCTTACCAGAAAAGCTGTATTTACATAGGAAAAAAAAATTAATGCATTCTAGGCAGGGGTTAAAGCATGAAAACAAAGAAAAAAGGATTTTAGAAAGCATTATGGAAGAAAGTCAGTCTGACTCTAGAGTTCATATTAAGAAACAATATGGAAATGAAATCTCATAGGTAATTAGCTGGATTATAAAAAACAAAACACAACAAAACAAAAACCAGATTTGAATTCTTTCAAATCTTCCTTTCACTTACAGCCAAATTCCTTGAATGAAATGTTTGTTTTTCACTTTATTATCCTTTGCAGTAACCTCCATCATTCTGCCAAACTACTTCTGAAACGGCTTAATCTTAGGTTGAAAATGATCTTCTTCTTGCCAAAATCAACAAACTTCTTCTTAGTCATCATGATCCACCCAAACCTTCCCCTGTGCCCTCCGAAATATCAAACTCCTCTACATTTTCCATACATTTTCTAAGTGCCACCCTTTCCTTAGCTGAAACATCAAAAGGCTGCTTCTCCCACAATCTTCTCAAGTCGTAGTTGTTTCCCCTCTCACACCTTAAAAACCTGCGTGCAGCAAAAGGCAGAGTTGGTGTTCTTGTGTCTTCCCTGCTGCTTTGAGAGCACAAAGTCCACTGCAACTACCCCAACAATAGTTTCTTGTAAAAAAGAATTATATCACTCAGAAAAAGAGAAGACAGAACACAGTAAGATGCCTAACTCCTAATGCAGTCTGGGTTCCTTTATTCTCTGTTACACTAGAGGTGTTGGTCCTTCTAAAATCTGTCTCACTACCTGCAATTTGGACCCCATCCTTCCTGCTTTTCTACTATCCCTTAAAAACTTTTCTCACTAACATGATATATTTGTATAATTCCCCCTTCGGTTATATACATTGTATTGAGATTTAAATAGGTTAAGGCTTTCGCTATTAAAAATGTATATTTTATAAATACATACATTATATAAATTATATATGATGTATGTGTATATATTTATGTATGTGAATATACATGTATATTTGTTTATATATGTGTGTGTGAAGATTTTATATATAAAATCGATATAATTTTGTATAATTATATATATTTAAAATTATATATACATTTATATATATATATATATATGAAATCTTTACCCTTAATATCATCAATTCCTCCAGCTGCTACACATTTTTTCTTCTCCTTTTAATAGCCAACCTTTCTTGAAAAGGTGGTCTGTTCTACTTTTACTTTCTCCTTTTCCTCATGTCTGCCTCAGTTATCAACCCTCTAATTTCTCCTCCAACCTGAGTAGTCCACTTAAGAAGCTCTTACAAAGGTCACCAATGGCCACCGTGCTACTGAATCCCAGGTCATTTTTGTTCTCTCAATCTTCTGTCCCCTCAACTTTCAACATTATTGGCTGTATCTTCCTTTTCACAAGACTCTTCTTGGCTTCTATAACTTCATACTCTCCTGGTTTTCCACTGTCTTTCTGCTTCCTAATCAATCTCCCTTAGAGGTTCATACTAAGTCCGCACATTTTTAAATATAAAAATTACTCAAGTCCAAGTCTCTGCCTTTTCCTCTGCTCTTTCCACACCTCCTAGGCAAGTCCACCAGTCTTATGAATTCAGCCATCACCTATCTCATATACTTCACAGATTTCTATTTCCAAGATGGACTCTTCTCTTGGCACCAGACAGATAAATATTAGACCATCTACTCAATATCACTTGGTATATCATAGTCACTTGAAATTCTATACCAAGATCAAACTCCAGAACTTTTACCAGCCTTCTATAACTTAGAAATAATACCATGACTGATCTGGTGGCTCAAGTCAGAGACCAATGGGTTGTCTTTAATGGCACCCTCTCCCTATCCTTTCTCCATCCCCTTTTATTTCATGACAAATTCCTGTTGATTCTGTTTTTAAACATCACTCAAATATATGCAGTTATGTCTGAATCCATCCTTGAATATGTTGTCTTCTGAATTTCTGCCTTTTGAATTACTCCTCCAGTAATTTTTCTTAGTAATTTCATCATCCACACAGATAACCCATTCAACATCCTGATTTCTCAGTTCTCTGACTCTTTGCTTTCAACATGTTAGTGTTTTGTTTTACAACCATATTCCTAGATCCTATCATTACCAATAGCAATATCACTTTTATGATTTCAGTGTCAAGAGTCCTACTCTCATATCTTCGTATCATTCAGTTATAGCTTCAATTACACTGGGACTTCCAATCCATTCATCTTATTCATGTTTGGTTATCCATCAATTACCCCCACCACCATGTTTGCTTTCCTTCTTATCTGGCTTAAACTGCAGACCCATCATTAAATTTATTCCCCTACATATACACTCAGTCATCTTGTTCCTTTCTCCCTCCAGCATACTCCCTTTGTGTATTCTGCTCAGGTTGCCATAACTCATGACCACGGGTAGGTGGCTTAAACACAGACATGCATCTCTCACAGTTCTGAAGGCTGGATGTCCCAGATCAGCTCCAGTAGGGTTTGTTCTCTGGTGAGGGCTCTCTGTGGCTTA